GGAAGCATCCCCAAGCTTCTTTGCAGCATCGCCGATCTCATCAGCAAAAGCCGCAGGAGCCATCATCATGCTGGCTGCTGCTGCGGCCACTGGAGCAGCATGCCGAGGCCCAGGCACGAAATTCAAGTGCTTCTGGAGACCGCATGCGACAGCCACCGCAACTCCGACAGCAATAGCTTTCCTTGCTCCACGCACCATGGCCACCAAAAATTCAAAAGTTCTAAAGTGGGCCGGAGTTGCTCAAAAAACAAGCCGCTAAAATTGGCTTGAGCCAATGACATTTGAAGAGGTACGACTTGATCTTGACACAATCAACTGCAGCATCTCTATACATCTGCATAACTGTATAACTATAGAGAGCGTCTGTTTACACGAAAAAAAAACTTACAAATTGGCTGTCACCACAAGTTCATGGCTACAGAGAAAAGCACCTCTTGCGACCTTGCCATAAATTTCTGAATCCATCTGAATCCCAGTTTATTCAATGTCATGCTTATGATATACAGTTTTATAATGTTTATACAGTGTTCAAATTCGGCAGTCGCTCTTTGAGCTCCTGGCATTGACATGCTCCATCTCACGGATTTGGGCGATTTGGCCGATGCCTTGGGTTACAAACAGATGTGGAAAAACCCTGCTTTTCCCAGGAAAATCATCTACAGGTGGGTTTTCCAAACCTGAGTTTTCAGGAGGGTACTTTGTTGACAGGAAGAAACTGCTTATGAAAGAGATGACATCTTGGCATTGTGTAATGGCATCAAAACCCTCCATGTTTAAGCCCCGCCTCATTCAACCACCGGATTGCAGCATGTGAAAAGACTCTCCACAGGCCTCGACCAAAAAAAACGAAAGAACATGAAAACACCATTTCGATTCGGCAGTCGAAGTGTGTCAAAGTAACCTGCCAAGTTCACTTTTGCTCCTTTCTTTGGCATTGCACCTGACAGCATTTGTCGCGCATCTTCCTTTTCCCATGGCTTGAGAGGCTTCTGGGTCAAGAAATGTCAAGAAACTGTTACAGATGTCCGTAACATTCTGTATCTATACAACAATTTAAAAAGTGTTCTGCTAAAGCATGTTGAAGCAATGTCGCAACTTCATGCTGCTGGTCTTCACTTCAGCGCTGGGAAGCCTCCACAACATCTTTGAAGGTGTAGAAACCCTTGGCGGCAGCCACTGCATCCAATGGATTCACCTTCGAAAACAGGTTGTTGGGGACGCTGGAATCAACCACGCCGGCCATGGAATTGTACACATCCATCACAGTTGTCTTCGGCACGGATGCCACCAAGCGGCCAATGGCTGCATTCACAGCTTCGTAGTCGGCCGCAGACGTCACACCAGTGGCATCAATGCTGCCAATGGCCTTGTGGTGTGCCTCTGCTGCTGCCTTCAAGAGGTTTCCATCCATCTTCGCGCCCATCACGATCATCTTGTCAATGGCTTTCAGCGTCTCTGGGGCAGTCTTGCCGGGAAGCGGCTTCAAGTAAATGTCTGACAGCCAATCAATGTCCTTGATGAAAGGGTAGGATGCATCGGACAAGGCTTTTGCAGCTTCACCAATTTTGTCTCCAGAAGGCACAACTGCAGGAGCACTGGCCGTGGCCACCTGGTTCTTTTCAACAACATCCTTGAATTCCAGGAATCCTTGGTAGGCCTTCTCGGCATCGGGTCCGTTCACCAAGGACTTCATGTACGCTGGCACTCCGGGGTCCGTGATGGCTGTTACTGAATCGTAAACGGCCATGACCTTTGCTTTGGGGACCGAAGCGACAACACGGCCAATGGCTGCATTCACCGCATCCCAGTCAGCGCGCGAAGTCACACCATTTGGCCCACTGATGCTCCCAATGGCCTTGTGATGTGCTTCTGCTGCGTCCTTCAGAAGCTTGGGATCTGCGGCTGCCCCCATTTCGATCATCTTGTCAATGGCTTTCAAAGCTTCCAAGGGCTGAAACTTGCCAGGGGCCTGCAGGAAAATGCCATTGTTCCAGTCTACTTCCTTGGCAAAAGAGTAGGAAGCATCTCCAAGCTTCTTTGCAGCATCGCCGATCTCATCAGCAAAAGCCGCAGGAGCCATCATCATGCTGGCTGCTGCTGCGGCCACTGGAGCAGCATGCCGAGGCCCAGGCACGAAATTCAAGTGCTTCTGGAGACCGCATGCGACAGCCACCGCAACTCCGACAGCAATAGCTTTCCTTGCTCCACGCACCATGGCCACCAAAAATTCAAAAGTTCTAAAGTGGGCCGGAGTTGCTCAAAAAACAAGCCGCTAAAATTGGCTTGAGCCAATGACATTTGAAGAGGTACGACTTGATCTTGACACAATCAACTGCAGCATCTCTATACATCTGCATAACTGTATAACTATAGAGAGCGTCTGTTTACACTATTAAACTTACAAATTGGCTGTCACCACAAGTTCATGGCTACAGAGAAAAGCACCTCTTGCGACCTTGCCGTAAATTTCTGAATCAATCCATCTGAATCCCAGTTTATTCAATGTCATGCTTATGATATACAGCTCTATACAGTGTTCAAATTCGGCAGTCGCTCTTTGAGCTCCTGGCATTGACATGCTCCATCTCACGGATTTGGGCGATTTGGCCGATGCCTTGGGTTACAAACAGATGTGCAAAAACCCTGGTTTTCCCAGGAAAATCATCTACAGGTGGGTTTTCCAAACCTGAGTTTTCAGAAGGGTACTTTGTTGACAGGAAGAAACTGCTTATGAAAGAGATGACATCTTGGCATTGTGTAATGGCATCAAAACCCCTCCATGTTTAAGCCCCGCCTCATTCAACCACCGGATTGCAGCATGTGAAAAGACTCTCCACAGGCCTCGACCAAAAAAAACGAAAGAACATGAAAACACCATTTCAATTCGGCAGTCGAAGTGTGTCAAAGTAACCTGCCAAGTTCACTTTTGCTCCTTTCTTTGGCATTGCACCTGACAGCATTTGTCGCGCATCTTCCTTTTCCCATGGCTTTGAGAGGCTTCTGGGTCAAGAAATGTCAAGAAACTGTTACAGATGTCCGTAACATTCTGTATCTATACAACAATTTAAAAAGTGTTCTGCTAAAGCATGTTGAAGCAATGTCGCAACTTCATGCTGCTGGTCTTCACTTTCAGCGCTGGGAAGCCTCCACAACATCTTTGAAGGTGTAGAAACCCTTGGCAGCAGCCACTGCATCCAATGGATTCACCTTCGAAAACAGGTTGTTGGGGACGCTGGAATCAACCACGCCGGCCATGGAATTGTACACATCCATCACAGTTGTCTTCGGCACGGATGCCACCAAGCGGCCAATGGCTGCATTCACAGCTTCGTAGTCGGCCGCAGACGTCACACCAGTGGCATCAATGCTGCCAATGGCCTTGTGGTGTGCCTCTGCTGCTGCCTTCAAGAGGTTTCCATCCATCTTCGCGCCCATCACGATCATCTTGTCAATGGCTTTCAGCGTCTCTGGGGCAGTCTTGCCGGGAAGCGGCTTCAAGTAAATGTCTGACAGCCAATCAATGTCCTTGATGAAAGGGTAGGATGCATCAGACAAGGCTTTTGCAGCTTCACCAATTTTGTCTCCAGAAGGCACAACTGCAGGAGCACTGGCCGTGGCCACCTGGTTCTTTTCAACAACATCCTTGAATTCCAGGAATCCTTGGTAGGCCTTCTCGGCATCGGGTCCGTTCACCAAGGACTTCATGTACGCTGGCACTCCGGGGTCCGTGATGGCTTTCACCGAATCGTAAACGGCCATGACCTTTGCTTTGGGGACCGAAGCGACAACACGGCCAATGGCTGCATTCACCGCATCCCAGTCAGCGCGCGAAGTCACACCATTTGGCCCGCTGATGCTCCCAATGGCCTTGTGATGTGCTTCTGCTGCGTCCTTCAGAAGCTTGGGATCTGCGGCTGCCCCCATTTCGATCATCTTGTCAATGGCTTTCAAAGCTTCCAAGGGCTGAAACTTGCCAGGGGCCTGCAGGAAAATGCCATTGTTCCAGTCCACTTCCTTGGCAAAAGAGTAGGAAGCATCTCCAAGCTTCTTTGCAGCATCGCCGATCTCATCAGCAAAAGCCGCAGGAGCCATCATCATGCTGGCTGCTGCTGCGGCCACTGGAGCAGCATGCCGAGGCCCAGGCACGAAATTCAAGTGCTTCTGGAGACCGCATGCGACAGCCACCGCAACTCCGACAGCAATAGCTTTCCTTGCTCCACGCACCATGGCCACCAAAAATTCAAAAGTTCTAAAGTGGGCCGGAGTTGCTCAAAAACAAGCCGCTAAAATTGGCTTGAGCCAATGACATTTGAAGAGGTACGACTTGATCTTGACACAATCAACTGCAGCATCTCTATACATCTGCATAACTGTATAACTATAGAGAGCGTCTGTTTACACGAAAAAAAACTTACAAATTGGCTGTCACCACAAGTTCATGGCTACAGAGAAAAGCACCTCTTGCGACCTTGCCATAAATTTCTGAATCCATCTGAATCCCAGTTTATTCAATGTCATGCTTATGATATACAGTTTTATAATGTTTATACCGTGTTCAAATTCGGCAGTCGCTCTTTGAGCTCCTGGCATTGACATGCTCCATCTCACGGATTTGGGCAATTTGGCCGATGCCTTGGGTTACAAACAGATGTGGAAAAACCCTGCTTTTCCCAGGAAAATCATCTACAAGTGGGTTTTTCAAACCTGAGTTTTCAGGAGGGTACTTTGTTGACAGGAAGAAACTGCTTATGAAAGAGATGACATCTTGGCATTGTGTAATGGCATCAAAACCCCTCCATGTTTAAGCCCCGCCTCATTCAACCACCGGATTGCAGCATGTGAAAAGACTCTCCACAGGCCTCGACCAAAAAAAACGAAAGAACATGAAAACACCATTTCGATTCGGCAGTCGAAGTGTGTCAAAGTAACTTGCCAAGTTCACTTTTGCTCCTTTCTTTGTCATTGCACCTGACAGCATTTGTCGCGCATCTTCCTTTTTTCCCATGGCTTGAGAGGCTTCTGGGTCAAGAAATGTCAAGAAACTGTTGCAGATGTCCGTAACATTCTGTATCTATACAACAATTTAAAAAGTGTTCTGCTAAAGCATGTTGAAGCAATGTCGCAACTTCATGCTGCTGGTCTTCACATTCAGCGCTGGGAAGCCTCCACAACATCTTTGAAGGTGTAGAAACCCTTGGCGGCAGCCACTGCATCCAATGGATTCACCTTCGAAAACAGGTTGTTGGGGACGCTGGAATCAACCACGCCGGCCATGGAATTGTACACATCCATCACAGTTGTCTTCGGCACGGATGCCACCAAGCGGCCAATGGCTGCATTCACAGCTTCGTAGTCGGCCGCAGACGTCACACCAGTGGCATCAATGCTGCCAATGGCCTTGTGGTGTGCCTCTGCTGCTGCCTTCAAGAGGTTTCCATCCATCTTCGCGCCCATCACGATCATCTTGTCAATGGCTTTCAGCGTCTCTGGGGCAGTCTTGCCGGGCAGCGGCTTCAAGTAAATGTCCGACAGCCAATCAATGTCCTTGATGAAAGGATAGGATGCATCGGACAACGCTTTTGCAGCTTCACCAATTTTGTCTCCAGAAGGCACAACTGCAGGAGCACTGGCCGTGGCCACCTGGTTCTTTTCAACAACATCCTTGAATTCCAGGAATCCTTGGTAGGCCTTCTCGGCATCGGGTCCGTTCACCAAGGACTTCATGTACGCTGGCACTCCGGGGTCCGTGATGGCTTTCACTGAATCGTAAACGGCCATGACCTTTGCTTTGGGGACCGAAGCGACTACACGGCCAATGGCTGCATTCACGCATCCCAGTCAGCGCGCGAAGTCACACCATTTGGCCCGCTGATGCTCCCAATGGCCTTGTGATGTGCTTCTGCTGCCTCCTTCAGAAGCTTGGGATCTGCGGCTGCCCCCATTTCGATCATCTTGTCAATGGCTTTCAAAGCTTCCAAGGGCTGAAACTTGCCAGGGGCCTGCAGGAAAATGCCATTGTTCCAGTCCACTTCCTTGGCAAAAGAGTAGGAAGCATCCCCAAGCTTCTTTGCAGCATCGCCGATCTCATCAGCAAAAGCCGCAGGAGCCATCATCATGCTGGCTGCTGCTGCGGCCACTGGAGCAGCATGCCGAGGCCCAGGCACAAAATTCAAGTGCTTCTGGAGACCGCATGCGACAGCCACCGCAACTCCGACAGCAATAGCTTTCCTTGCTCCACGCACCATGGCCACCAAAAATTCAAAAGTTCTAAAGTGGGCCGGAGTTGCTCAAAAAACAAGCCGCTAAAATTGGCTTGAGCCAATGACATTTGAAGAGGTACGACTTGATCTTGACACAATCAACTGCAGCATCTCTATACATCTGCATAACTGTATAACTATAGAGAGCGTCTGTTTACACTATTAAACTTACAAATTGGCTGTCACCACAAGTTCATGGCTACAGAGAAAAGCACCTCTTGCGACCTTGCCGTAAATTTCTGAATCAATCCATCTGAATCCCAGTTTATTCAATGTCATGCTTATGATATACAGCTCTATACAGTGTTCAAATTCGGCAGTCGCTCTTTGAGCTCCTGGCATTGACATGCTCCATCTCACGGATTTGGGCGATTTGGCCGATGCCTTGGGTTACAAACAGATGTGCAAAAACCCTGGTTTTCCCAGGAAAATCATCTACAGGTGGGTTTTCCAAACCTGAGTTTTCAGAAGGGTACTTTGTTGACAGGAAGAAACTGCTTATGAAAGAGATGACATCTTGGCATTGTGTAATGGCATCAAAACCCCTCCATGTTTAAGCCCCGCCTCATTCAACCACCGGATTGCAGCATGTGAAAAGACTCTCCACAGGCCTCGACCAAAAAAAACGAAAGAACATGAAAACACCATTTCAATTCGGCAGTCGAAGTGTGTCAAAGTAACCTGCCAAGTTCACTTTTGCTCCTTTCTTTGGCATTGCACCTGACAGCATTTGTCGCGCATCTTCCTTTTCCCATGGCTTTGAGAGGCTTCTGGGTCAAGAAATGTCAAGAAACTGTTACAGATGTCCGTAACATTCTGTATCTATACAACAATTTAAAAAGTGTTCTGCTAAAGCATGTTGAAGCAATGTCGCAACTTCATGCTGCTGGTCTTCACATTCAGCGCTGGGAAGCCTCCACAACATCTTTGAAGGTGTAGAAACCCTTGGCGGCAGCCACTGCATCCAATGGATTCACCTTCGAAAACAGGTTGTTGGGGACGCTGGAATCAACCACGCCGGCCATGGAATTGTACACATCCATCACAGTTGTCTTCGGCACGGATGCCACCAAGCGGCCAATGGCTGCATTCACAGCTTCGTAGTCGGCCGCAGACGTCACACCAGTGGCATCAATGCTGCCAATGGCCTTGTGGTGTGCCTCTGCTGCTGCCTTCAAGAGGTTTCCATCCATCTTCGCGCCCATCACGATCATCTTGTCAATGGCTTTCAGCGTCTCTGGGGCAGTCTTGCCGGGAAGCGGCTTCAAGTAAATGTCTGACAGCCAATCAATGTCCTTGATGAAAGGGTAGGATGCATCGGACAAGGCTTTTGCAGCTTCACCAATTTTGTCTCCAGAAGGCACAACTGCAGGAGCACTGGCCGTGGCCACCTGGTTCTTTTCAACAACATCCTTGAATTCCAGGAATCCTTGGTAGGCCTTCTCGGCATCGGGTCCGTTCACCAAGGACTTCATGTACGCTGGCACTCCGGGGTCCGTGATGGCTGTTACTGAATCGTAAACGGCCATGACCTTTGCTTTGGGGACCGAAGCGACAACACGGCCAATGGCTGCATTCACCGCATCCCAGTCAGCGCGCGAAGTCACACCATTTGGCCCGCTGATGCTCCCAATGGCCTTGTGATGTGCTTCTGCTGCGTCCTTCAGAAGCTTGGGATCTGCGGCTGCCCCCATTTCGATCATCTTGTCAATGGCTTTCAAAGCTTCCAAGGGCTGAAACTTGCCAGGGGCCTGCAGGAAAATGCCATTGTTCCAGTCCACTTCCTTGGCAAAAGAGTAGGAAGCATCCCCAAGCTTCTTTGCAGCATCGCCGATCTCATCAGCAAAAGCCGCAGGAGCCATCATCATGCTGGCTGCTGCTGCGGCCACTGGAGCAGCATGCCGAGGCCCAGGCACAAAATTCAAGTGCTTCTGGAGACCGCATGCGACAGCCACCGCAACTCCGACAGCAATAGCTTTCCTTGCTCCACGCACCATGGCCACCAAAAATTCAAAAGTTCTAAAGTGGGCCGGAGTTGCTCAAAAAACAAGCCGCTAAAACTGGCTTGAGCCAATGACATTTGAAGAGGTACGACTTGATCTTGACACAATCAACTGCAGCATCTCTATACATCTGCATAACTGTATAACTATAGAGAGCGTCTGTTTACACTATATTAAACTTACAAATTGGCTGTCACCACAAGTTCATGGCTACAGAGAAAAGCACCTCTTGCGACCTTGCCGTAAATTTCTGAATCCATCTGAATCCCAGTTTATTCAATGTCATGCTTATGATATACAGTTTTATACAGTGTTCAAATTCGGCAGTCGCTCTTTGAGCTCCTGGCATTGACATGCTCCATCTCACGGATTTCGGCGATTTGGCCGATGCCTTGGGTTACAAACAGATGTGGAAAAACCCTGGTTTTCCCAGGAAAATCATCTACAGGTGGGTTTTCCAAACCTGAGTTTTCAGGAGGGTACTTTGTTGACAGGAAGAAACTGCTTAAAGAGATGACATCTTGGCATTGTGTAATGGCATCAAAACCCCTCCATGTTTAAGCCCCGCCTCATTCAACCACCGGATTGCAGCATGTGAAAAGACTCTCCACAGGCCTCGACCAAATTACACCGGCATAGACCCCAGATAGAAAAGGTTGGAACTGATGGTTCCCAACGTGGGAACCAAAGGTTACCATGGCAAGGAACTGCCGGTTCCCAGACCTTGAAACTTACGGTTCCCAACCTGGGAACCAGAGGTTACCATTGCAAGGAATTGCCGTTTCCCAGAAGTTAGAATTTATGTTTTCGAAGCTAAGCGGCTATCATTGAAAGGAACTGCGGGTTCCCAAAGCTTGAAACTCATGGTTCCAAGCCTGAAAAAGTAACGTTACCAGTGGAAGGATCTGTTGACTGCAAAAAGTTAGACGTCATGGTTCTTAATGTTGTTTTGTTTTGTTTTGTTTACTGAGCCGGTAACAGAACCTTTTGTTTTTCTTAATGGACCGGTAGCGGAATGTTTGCGTTCGGCTGCTGGGCCGGCATATTTTTTTTTTTCAACTTTATGGTTTTGCTTAATGGACCGGTAAAGAACGCTCGGTTTTGCTTAATGGACCGGTGCCGGAATGTTTGCGTTTGGTTCATGGCAAGGGAACTGCCGGTTCCCAAAGGTTGGAACTCACGGTTGCCAACATGGGAACCACAGGTTACCATTGCAAGGAACTGCCGGTTCCCACAGGTTGGAACTCATGGTTCCCAACCTGGGAACCAGAGGTTACCATTGCAAGCAACTGCCGGTTCCCAGAGGTTGGAACTCATGTTTCCCAACCTGGGAACCATAGGTTACCATTGCAAAGAACTTCCAATTCCTAAAGGTTGGAACTGATGGTTCCCAACGTGGGAACCAAAGGTTACCATGGCAAGGATCTGCCGGTTCCCAGACCTTAAAACTTACGGTTCCCAACCTGGGAACCAGAGGTTACCATGGCAAGGAATTGCCGTTTCCCAGAAGTTAGAATTTATGTTTTCGAAGCTAAGCGGCTATCATTGTAAGGAACTGCGCGTTCCCAAAGCTTGAAACTCATGGTTCCAAACCTGAAAAAGCATACGTTACCAGTGGAAGGATCTGTTGATTGCAAAAAGTTAGAACTCATGGTTCTTAATGTTGTTTTGTTTTGTTTACTGAGCCGGTAACAGAACCTTTTGTTTTGCTTAATGGACCGGTAGCGGAATGTTTGCGTTTGGCTGTTGGGCCGGAATAAAAAATGTTTGTGCACGAAAAAGGTGCATGTCAAAATGATATGAAAACAGTTTCTTTACATTTTTTTGGTTTTGCTTAATGGACCGGTACAGAACGCTTTGTTTTGCTTAATGGACCGGTACCGGAATGTTTGCGTTTGGTTCATGGCAAGGAACTGCCGGTTCCCAAAGGTTGGAACTCACGGTTGCCAACGTGGGAACCACAGGTTACCATTGCAAGGAACTGCCGGTTCTCACAGGTTAGAAGTCATGGTTCCCCAACCTGGGGACCAGAGGTTACCATTGCAAGCAACTGCCGGTTCCCAGAGGTTGGAACTCATGCTTCCCAACCAGGGAACCATAGGTTTGCATTGCAAAGAATTTCCAATTCCTAAAGGTTGGAACTGATGGTTCCCAACGTGGGAACCAAAGGTTACCATGGCAAGGAACTGCCGGTTCCCAAAGGTTGGAACTCACGGTTGCCAACGTGGGAAGCACAGGTTACCATTGCAAGGAACTGCCGGTTCCCAAAGGTTGGAACTCCTGGTTCCCCAACCTGGGAACCAGAGGTTACCATTGCAAGCAACTGCCGGTTACCAGAGGTTGGAACTCATGCTTCCCAACCTGGGAACCATAGGTTACCATTGCAAAGAACTTCCGGTTCCTAAAGGTTGGAACTGACGGTTCCCAACGTGGGAACCAAAGGTTACCATGGCAAGGATCTGCCGGTTCCCAGACCTTGAAACTTACGGTTCCCAACCTGGGAACCAGAGGTTACCATGGCAAGGAATTGCCGTTTCCCAGAAGTTAGAATTTATGTTTTCGAAGCTAAGCAACTATCATTGTAAGGAACTGCGGGTTCCCAAAGCTTGAAACTCATGGTTCCAAACCTGAAAAAGCATACGTTACCAGTGGAAGGATCTGTTGATTCCAAAAAAGTTAAAACTCATGGTTCTTAATGTTGTTTTGTTTTGTTTACTGAGCCGGTAACAGAACCTTTTTTTTGTTTTGCTTAATGGACCGGTAGCGAATGTTTGCGTTCGGCTGCTGGGCCGGCAAAAAAAAGGGGTTTGCACGAAAAAGGTGCATGTTAAAATGATATGAAAACATTTTCTTTACAACTTTATGGTTTTGCTTAATGGACCGGTAAAGAACGCTTTGTTTTGCTTAATGGACCGGTACCAGAATGTTTGCGTTTGGTTCATGGCAAGGAACTGCCGGTTCCCAAAGGTTGGAACTCACTGTTGCCAACGTGGGAACCACAGGTTACCATTGCAAGGAACTGCCGGTTCCCAGAGGTTGGAACTCCTGGTTCCCAACCTGGGAACCAGAGGTTACCATTGCAAGCAACTGCCGGTTCCCACCTGGGAACCACAGGTTACCATTGCAAAGAACTTCCAGTTCCTAAAGGTTGGAACTGATGGTTCCCAACGTGGGAACCAAAGGTTACCATGGCAAGGAACTGCCGGTTCCCAGACCTTGAAACTTACGGTTCCCAACTTGGGAACCAGAGGTTACCATTGCAAGGAATTGCCGTTTCCCAGAAGTTAGAATTTATGTTTTCGAAGCTAAGCAACTATCATTGTAAGGAACTGCGGGTTCCCAAAGCTTGAAACTCATGGTTCCAAGCCTGAAAAAGTAACGTTACCAGTGGAAGGATCTGTTGATTCCAAAAAGATAAAAATCATGGTTCTAATGTTGTTTTGTTTTGTTTACTGAGCCGGTAACAGAACCTTTTGTTTTGCTTAATGGACCGGTAGCGGAATGTTTGCGTTTGGCTGTTGGGCCGGAATAAAAATGTTTTTGCACGAAAAAGGTGCATGTCAAAATGATATGAAAACAGTGTCTTTACAATTTTTTGGTTTTGCTTAATGGACCGGTACAGAACGCTTTGTTTTGCTTAATGGGCCCGCACCGGAATGTTTGCGTTTGGCTGTTGGGCCGGAATAAAAATGTTTTTGAACGAAAAAGGTGCATGCCAAAATGATATGAAAACAGTTTCTTTACAATTTTTTGGTTTTGCTTAATGGACCGGTACAGAACGCTTTGTTTTGCTTAATGGACCGGTACCGGAATGTTTGTGTTTGGTTCATGGCAAGGAACTGCCGGTTCCCAAAGGTTGGAACTCCTGGTTCCCAACCTGGGAACCATGGGTTACCATTGCAAGCAACTGCCGGTTACCACAGGTTGGAACTCATGCTTCCCAACCTGCCGGCTCCCAGGCCTTGAAACTTACGGTTCCCAACCTGGGAACCAGAGGTTACCATTGCAAGGAATTGCCGGTCCCCAGAAGTTAGAATTTATGTTTTCGAAGCTAAGCAACTATCATTGTAAGGAACTGTGGATTCCCAAAGTTTGAAACTCATGGTTCCAAACCTGAAAAAGCATACGTTACCAGTGGAAGGATCTGTTGATTCCAAAAAGATAAAAATCATGGTTCTTAATGTTGTTTTGTTTTGTTTACTGAGCCGGTAACAGAACCTTTTGTTTTGCTTAATGGACCGGTAGCAGAATGTTTGCGTTCGGCTGCTGGGCCGGCATAAAAATGTGTTTGCACGAAAAAGGTGCATGTTAAAATGATACGAAAACAGTTTCTTTACAACTTTTTGGTTTTGCTTAATGGACCGGTAAAGAACGCTTTGTTTTGCTTAATGGACCGGTACCGGAATGTTTGCGTTTGGTTCATGGCAAGGAACTGCCGGTTCCCAAAGGTTGGAACTCACTGTTGCCAACATGGGAACCACAGGTTACCATTGCAAGGAACTGCCGGTTCCCAGAGGTTGGAACTCATAGTTCCCAACCAGGGAACCAGAGGTTACCATTGCAAGCAACTGCCGGTTCCCAGCGGTTGGAACTCATGCTTCCCAACCTGGGAACCATAGGTTACCATTGCAAAGAACTTCCAATTCCTAAAGGTTGGAACTGATGGCTCCCAACGTGGGAACCAAAGGTTACCATGGCAAGGAACTGCCGGTTCCCAGACCTTGAAACTTACGGTTCCCAACCTGGGAACCAGAGGTTACCATTGCAAGGAATTGCCGGTTCCCAGAAGTTAGAATTTATGTTTTCGAAGCTAAGCGGCTATCATTGTAAGGAATTGCGGGTTCCAAAGCTTGAAACTCATGGTTCCAAGCCTGAAAAAGTAACGTTACCAGTGGAAAGATCTGTTGATTGCAAAAAGTTAGAACTCATGGTTCTTAATGTTGTTTTGTTTTGTTTACTGAGCCGGTAACAGAACCTTTTGTTTTGCTTAATGGACCGGTAGCGGAATGTTTGCGTTTGGCTGTTGGGCCGGAATAAAAATGTCTTGGCACGAAAAAGGTGCATGTCAAAATGATATGAAAACAGTTTCTTTACATTTTTTTTGGTTTTGCTTAATGGACCGGTACAGAACGCTTTGTTTTGCTTAATGGACCGGTACCGGAATGTTTGCGTTTGGCTCATGGCAAGGAACTGCCGGTTCCCAAAGGTTGGAACTCACGGTTGCCAACGTGGGAACCACGGTTCCCACAGGTTAGAAGTCATGGTTCCCAACCTGGGAACCAGAGGTTACCATTGCAAGCAACTGCCG